CTTCTGGCTACAAATGAGCTGGGTGAGGTGTTAAATGATAATGATACTGGGGATAGACAAAGTAGAGCACATCCCTAGCATCCATGCTTGTGAGACAGAGGCAGAGTAGAAACAATTATGACTTCTTCACTGTTTCTTACCCCCTTTTCGAAAGGGGGTACCTTCCAAGAGTGGTACCTTACTACTTACCTTACTTAGTAATACCTCACCAAGTTTGTGGCACAAACTGGGGTTATTCCCAGTCAACTGATTTTTGTTGAATGTCTACTGTGTGCCTAGCACTATAGTGTTATACACCTGTTAAAGTGTCTAAATCTCAACTTTGTATTGCTTGCTAAAATAAACTTTGCTAGAGAAGGGTATAGCACATCCATACAGATTCCATGTCTTAGTTATTTGTAGCATGTTCTACACTTCATCTGCTGCTTTGGCCTTCTTGATTGTTAACGTTGTATATGTGTCATTCTTAGATCAACAGTTGATTCTTCTACTTCAGTGCTTTGTGCTTCCATGTATTGGAAGTCATCACATCTGATACTTCTAATGATCAGAACAGCTTCCTCCAATAAAGGGGTTTAAAATGATGTATGACAAGGGGTGGGGGGGGGGAAGTGAAATTGAAACTAAAAATGTACAGCTTAATATTCTTCTTAAAAGTACATAGAACTTTGTCTTCTCAAGAGGCCTCAACATCTCATGATATAACTTGATGTGTTAGATAGAGACTAATGTATGATCAGTTACTTAATTTTCTTTATGAGGAAAAATCTGAGTTCTCTTTGAGCTTAGAAAGCAGAATCTTATCTGTCAGGGCAGGCATCACAAAGAGGGGTAGGGCTGTGTTAGGATGCTTGCAGCCTACAGAGTTTTCCATTGTGAATGTCCCTAAAACTAAGACTAAAAGGTCACAGAAAAGGACACGTAGTAGTCATCCCTAGACTGGCAAGATTGTGTATCTAAACTACTCTAGGTAAGTTGTCTTTTCAAAAGCTGTCTCTAAGGGAAGGAAATTCCATTTCTACTACAATTTTCCTTTTTTAATACGGGAACACTCATCTTCAGTCTTGTCTTCTATTATATTTCTATCATGGCCTCCAACCGTTCCTTCAGACTAAAAGACCCAAAAAAAGCCTGTGGCCTTCCCCTGGATCTCCCATTTATTTGAATTTTTACCACATAATAACCAGAGCTTGTGATTTCATCAAAGCCTGTTTATGAGATCAAAGACTATTTATGAGGTCCTTTTTCTTCCAAAGCAAATTAATTGCCCAATTAGTACTTATTGAAATGTACAGTGATATTTAGGTACAGTTCCTGATTTGAGGTTAAAAAGCTAGACTCTTTCATGACCAATATTGAAAGATTATCCTTGTCCAGAAACTGTAGACTTCAGTTACTATATTGTGGTAAATACATAAACCTTCACAAGGGATGCTTCTCCAGAACTAGAGGGGAAATAAACATTCTTAGTTATTAGCTACAGAGAAGAGAGAAAATGACTTACTAAATGCAGCAAGAATTAGAATTCTTAATTCCAAACCCCCAACATGGTGATTAGTTCACTAAAATTCTCTCGCAATATCACTAACATCCAAAAATGTTTCCACACGTAAGTATGCCTACTCATGCTAAAATTTTGCCAGTAGATTTTAAGTCAGACATAATAATAGGAGGTTGGTACTGCCAGTGAGAACTTCAGTATCTGTGAACAGTTGCTAATGCTGTACTCCCTTATTTTAAGCCAATGGTAAAAAGGAAAACACTTGTTTAAAGCATGTTGGCAAATTACAATACCCTGTAATGCTTGGTTTATACTCTTGAAAATGTTGACTCTAGTCTCTAAAACCCTTGTGGTTTGAGCCCTGATTAATGCTCTTGTTATGTACTTTCCTGACATATGTGACCATTGGTATGGTACTTGCTAAATGCCAGTGGTTTCCAAGTACTGTTTTAAGGATATTTTTCCCCCTACATTACCTTCACTAATTCTACAAACAGCAAATGTATACATCTCTATGACATATACAAAATACTTCTCTTTGGTTGCCTTCCCTCTGTAAATAGATTACATGTTCTGCTGTTTGTATTATTTTAAGAAATTTCAGACCATTTTAATTGATTTTTTTTTAAAAAACTCTGTACCTTTAGATGTGTGTGCCTTAAGACCAAATATAGAGTATACCATTGTTATACTGTAGTAATTTGCCATTTTGGCAGTGCTCTTCTATACTGATGAGAGACCACAGCCATCTCTACTGCACATGGTCTTTGTGAATTGCTGTGGCCAGAAAAATTTCACCCCTTGGTGGTCTGCCTCCTGGTAATGATCTTTGCCCTTATAGAAGCTGATTCTTAGCTGGCTCAAGGCTTGTTGCCAGACCCGCAAATTGAAGTCTTCCCACCTACTGGGACCTCCTTTTTCAAAATATTTGGGAACTGGGGTGAGGAATAAGAGTAGGACTTAAGGGTAAGGACTCCCAACCCAGGGAGTGACAAGAATAACAATACAGGACTTCTTTAGGGCCCAGTAATTGGAAGGAGTACACTTTAAATCCTTCAGTGAGGAGCTATTGGAAGGCAAGTATGAGGAATCATTATTTGATTTTGGAGAGTAGGGGAGGAAAAGGCTACCATGACCAAGAAAAATAGGCACTGTTATACATTTAACACTTTTTTAAAATGGTACCATTCTGATCTGTTTCCTAGTATGAGTCTGTCATATTTTTAAAATAGTTTTGTACAGAATTTGAAAAATGTTATGTGTAGAAACTGAAATAAAGTAGAAGAAAATACCTGGAGAGAATCTGAAATTGGCAAACCATCTGACTTTTACAAGTCAAGCAACTCATCTTTTCTACTTGACATTCTAATCTGATACAGTATGATCCTAGATAAAAAGTGATACCCAACTTTTTCTCAAATTCTCAATTTAGTAATCTGGCCTGTCCAGAGTTAAGATAGTCTTAAGACATTAACCAAGATCTCTCCTTTAAAGCCAGGTTGTTGAGCTGGGTGAATAACAGTCTGCTAGAAAAGCTAATAAGTATATTCTGCTGCAGCATTAAAAACCTTCCTGAAAGAGTCTGTGCTCCAGTTTGGTGATTGGTGGCCTGCCGTGTCCAAGGAGGCAGTGTCTTATCTGTCTTATTTTCTAAAAGTAAAATTTAACAAGGAGAAGAGAGAAGGTTGCTGAGGATACATTTGTTTTTCCTTTAGACCAGGAATTTCCTAACCATTTTTGTATAATGGACCCTCCTTTGGCAGTCTGGTGATGTCTATGGATCCCTTCTCGGAAGAATAGTTTTAAATAATTGAAGGAAATGCTTGATTTCAATTAGAGCCTAGCAAAAATAAAAATGTAAAAAAAAAAATTTCCCATTCAAGTTCACAGACCCTCCTGAAACCTATCCACAGACTCCTTGGGAGTCCACGGTTGTTCAGTTGATCAAGACTCTTTTTGACCTCATGGACCAAATGTCCATGGCGTTTTCTTCACAAAGATATTGCAGTGGTTTGCCATTTCCTTCTCCTGCAGATCTTTTTGTCAGGCAATCAGAGGTTAAATAACTTGCCCAGGGTCACACAGCTAGGAAATATCTGAGACTGGATTTGAACTCAGGTCTTCCTGGCTCCAAGCCTAGTGATCTATCCACTGATCCGCCAACTGCCTCAGGGGTCTATGGACCCAAGGTAAAAAAAACAACAGCCCTGTTTTAGATAGACTCTTGATTCTCAGTCCATTTACATGACCCTTTTCTACTCTCACTTCACTTTATCTGGGCCCCTAGTGATGGCTTTGAGACTCCAGCTTCCTTTTGTCTATGGGCTTTGGGGTTCTGATTTTTTTTCCTTCTCTTTTATTTTGTGTTCATATAGCCTGATCATCAATAGTGATTTGTTCATTTCATATACATACCTAAGAACCTGTCAGATTGAGCCCTGAAGCTTTTGATGCTAAATGACTAGTTGACTACCCTATGTACAAAAGCAGTAAACATTTTAATAGGATACTATTCTATGATATCACCGACACGGTGTGGACAGAAGATCAATTTTTGCTATTCAGAATGACAATAGCAGCCATGTATTGGAATATACTCATCTCTCCCTCCATTACATCCCCAACAGTTTCTCTTTGTTTTGCAATTAATAAGTTCCTTTGAATGAAATCAGTCTGGGCACAGAGAGAGATGGGATGAAGTTCTAGTCTCTTCAGTGTTGATAGGTGCAAGCCCCTCATAGGATGGCCAATGCTTGGCTAAGGGGAGGACCATAGCCCTGTCATAAGATCATAGATAGAGAGCCATGAGTGACCTCAGAAGCCAGCCAGTCCATTTTACAGATAAGGAAACTGAGGCCTGGAGAGGTTAAATGACTTGCTTGAGTTCTCAGTCATCAGAGTGAAAGTGCGATCTCTGGCATACTGTTTGTGTAGCCTCTACAGAATCCTGTGAAAGGCGAGTCAGCTTGTAGAGAGAGAATTCACAGTGTGGACTAGCTTATATTATTATATAATTATACCTATATTATTTCTATTCCTTGTAACAAACATTCTGGTAATTAAATGTATTATTGGAACACATAGTCATCATTTATGGAGATATTACTAAATTGACCTTTTCTCTCAGGCTCCAGAGTAGCCAATCAAGTTTTCAGCTTTTTCATTGAAAACTCAAAAGTCCAGTGAGTGAAAATCAAAATGCTTTTTTGTGCAGTCAGTGAATTTAAGTTGTGCTCCCCCGTTCTCCACTTTGACTTTCCTTTTCCGGTTTACCTCTGCCAAGTGCAAGCAGTGGGGACTCAGCATGTGTATCCTTGTAGGGATGGGAGGGGTTTCTGGTTCTGTGGGAATGTGAGCTCTCAAACTCTGTAAACAGCTGGTGACTCATTGCATAGCTATGTCACAGACTGACTGC